AAGTTCTGTATGACAGTAAAAAAAAACAAATATACTTGTGGTTTCTGTCATTGAATAAACTATATTTTTTATAAAAAAATAAGACAAATTTGTTATAGAAATATAAATAAATAAAGGTAGGCATATTTTTGACGCAGACCGTATGTAGTTACATATATGAAGTCATTTTCAAAACAATGGATTTATGTGTATAAATATGAATGGGAATAGGTTAACGGGAAGCACTATATTTTTTGTCGTTAAGATATTATAAAGGCACATACAAACATACTGTGGCTCATAGCTTATTTCTGCCAGCATCTATAAAAACTTTTAGCCACCAATAAAAACTAAATTAAGAAAGATATCAAAATTATTTAAACGCAGCTTATTAGTCTAATACCTTAACGAATCAATATAATATTATATTTATATTATATTATAATTTAAAACATTTAAAAACTAAAAACTCTCATTTTTAAACGACTTTAAAAAAAGAAGGAAGGTTATCAATTCGTCGGAATAGTTTTTTTTTTTTAATTTTTCATGTATGCAACTTGGGACCACGTGAACCGATTTCGTTTCGTTTTTTATCGGAAACGTGGTACCTCAAGGGTGGTCCCATTTGGTTTGGATCAGATCATTGGATCATGAAGAAATTAACGCTACTTCTAAACTTTGATATGAGAATTAAACTCTTTTTCGCTTTTTGCTTAACTATTATATTATCCTCATATTTATTCACATCATCTATGTAGTATGCGTATACAATTTTTTAATAACACATTTATAAAATGTATATTTTCATCTTAAGGGCTTCCATTTGATCATTCACATCGACTAATTATAACTTTTTTTATAACTGATTTCTGATTACTGTTAAATAACTGTAAAGCCTTGAGACCACTCTTCGCCCGATCTTTGAATATTCTGATTAAATTGGATCACTTCTTCATGGAATGTAATAAAATTACAGTTATAACAAAATTATAACGAAGTCACGTTTTATACAACAACAAAAAAAAAACATGTGACGTGTTGGCTGGAAACAGCTGATTTGCAGTGGAAACATTTTAACCCAGCGACAACCAAATTCTGAGGCATTCGACCTGTATTTTTTTATGTTAAATTATTTTTTGGTGTCACAGGTTAGATTTTCAAAACAAAAAAAAACTAAGTAACGAAATTTTGCACTTTGAAAATATATAAAGAAAAGCACGAAGAAGATGTGAAAGAAGTGTAACGAAATTAAAAAAAAAAAAATAGTCTGCAATAAATGAAGCAACCACGATATATACGAGTACACACCAGAAAGTAGTGTACAATGTAGGCATATATCGTCACCTGAAATGCAAAAAGACGTAACAACATTGTCACTGAAATGGAAAAAGTCGAGACTAATATATTCTTTTTTTTTCATAAAACGATGTGGGGAGTTGTAATTCAATGAAATCCATCATATTAATCAAAAAGTAAATTTTGAATTTTTTTAAGTTACGACCTTTTGCATTTCAGGTGACGATATGTATTGTATTTACTGCAGCAACAAATGAAACATTGCATGCGGTTATGGAACTTCCTGTCACTTGAATCAACCCAGTATATAATTTTAGTAGTAAAAATCCCTTCGAAAAGGCCTTCCTGAGAGTTAAGAGGCCTTCCACTCTATATTCCTTTCTAATTCCTTTTTTGTATGGAGTGACAAAAAATTCAGGGCTTCGGGAAGGCCTTCCCGAAGGGCTTTTATAGGACGTACTTCAGAAGGCCTTTTGGCGGACTTCTTTTAAAGTTACTTCTTTAATTTATAAAAATCATACATCTTTGAAGTATTTGATTATAGTCTATGAGTCTACTTTTTGCCAGCGCGTTACGGGATGTATGTGGAGTTGTCATCCGCCCGCGAAATTATACCCTGGGGAGGGTAGCACTGGGAGGCAGAACGCCCTTAACTTGTAAAAATCATCGAAGAAAAATATGATTTAGTTAAGGCTGCAATTTTACCCACCTCTGAGGCTCTGATAGTCCACAATTATCCGGTTACATTGGCTTACCGATCAGCCGGTAATAAAAGGGTAGCAGAACACCCCAAACGTGTGATGAGAGCAATGAAATTTCAACAATTTCAAGTCTAAAATTAAATTGGCAGATCGAAATTCCGGTATTAACTACCTGGCAGAAATGATGGCAGATGTAAATGTATTTGGTTAAGAATTTTTCTAATACAACCATTGAATAACTTAGATGTATTATTTAGTATCTTATTAATTAAAACAGCCATTTAATGATAGTGTGAATTATCCCTGACCAATATATACAGTCAAGCACAAAAGTCTAGGCACAGAGAATTTTTAACACTTTCTGGAAAGATTTTTATTTAAAATTTTTTCTTTTATGAAACATGAAAATAAAGTTTATTAACTTTGTGCGAAAATCCAAAAAATGCAATAAATTTTCTTGAAAATTTTCAACTTTCTAATCAGATTTCGTAGTAAAAATTTGATTATGCTGTTTTGTAGCTTAAGAAATTTGATTATAACTAAGTACAAGTTTGAAGGTGCTAAAAAATTCCATTGATTCTATAAGGTTTTGTTATTGTTTTTTGTTGTAGTACAAAAAGTCTCTGCGCCTAGAAAATTGTGGTTAAGCCAGATGTGGATACATTGGGTAGGCCTCTTAGAATGGCTTTGCTTAAGAAGGCCCACCTAAATTATCTTCTGGGAAATTCAGGTGAAAGCCACCGAAAACGGATTTGAGGAAACACAAAGCTACGGCAGAGACACAAACGGGCGCGGTTACGACTATAAACAATGAAATAAGATTAAAAGTGATACTTAGTTACAACACGAAATGAAACTAAAAGCGAAAAAGTTTGCCGCCACGTGAAAAATTTAACCCAAATAAAAGGCCATAATTACAATCGAAGCAAAATTCGAGAATAAAATGTGATAAAAAACAAGATTCAACATTTTAATTAAATGAGCAAGACTAAAAGAAATTAAATTAAAAATAAATATCATTATTGATAAAAATTTGTTTATTTTTCCCGCATTTCTATGACACCTCGAACCTAACACTAAACATTTTCTCTTTTTTTTATTGTCTCTTTCCTTTCAGATCGCACACAAATATTCTCATATTAAAATAACGGCTTACCTTCTAGGAACAACAAATACATACATACATACATATGTACATGCAACAACTGCCAAGCTAAGAAGTGATATATTAAATTAGAGAATTATGCATTTTAGTTTTATAATGTCAACGACGTTGGTCTACTGTGCAGCGCGTAGAAGATGATCGAAGCTTTTGCCAATAATTTAAGTAGTCATTTGGGGCGACATCTTTTCTACTGGGCAGTGTCCCAACCGGAAGTCAACGGTCTCAATCTGCGTCTCACCGAGTTAATAAACAAATTCCACGGCCCACTTGAACGTGGCGTTCAGGTGCTAGACCACCTGCTAACACTCGACGAAGAGGACTTCAATGGCCATTGGGGCAGCGCATATAGGCACAATTATGAGCCAGAATATGCGGGTAGCGATGGCAATGAGGAAGTACTTCATACGGCAAGCCATCGAGAAGAGTTGCCAACACCAGCACGCGTGTTAGCAATGGCGAGTGGAAATCGTGGAAGCAATAGAAATAATAATAACAATAACAACATCAACATAAATAGCAACCGCATCTCCTCAACAAATCTGAATAGTAAGTTTAAAAGCAAAACTACATACGAAGAAAAAACTAGCAAATATATAGGAATATATGTATATGTGTATATATGTACAGTATCGGTCACATTAATAGCACCCACATTTCAAACTGATATGTGTAATTATCTATTTTTAGGAATTTTAAATTAAAATACAGTTCATTCTATAACAAAACCCATATAATTCCAAATTTAAAACTTTGTAAACGCCTACAAAAAGTTTTTACCCGAATTTCAAACTTGTTTCTCACAAGTGTTAGATTTTGTTGAGTACACAGTAGCTCATTCAATTTTAGTGTAATAATGTGCAAGTTTCAAGTGGCTAAAAATAACCGTTGATTTTTTAGAATTCTTTTTGTCG